TACACAATGATACACAATATCATAATCCCATAAAAGTAACTCAACACGGTGAACTAACCGGGAGAGACTCCACAAAGATAGACGACTCTGTTTTTTAGCTGTAACCATCCATAAAGATCGGGTCAACTTTCAACAATGTAGAAGCACCTGTGTGTCTTGAGTCTAGAACCAGGACTAGAATGTCCATGCTTCCGCAAATCAAACAATGTGTGATGGCTCGGTGACCTACACGCAACGGGTGTAATATGGAGGGCTATTCTCCTGACCTTCTAAAGGATGTAGTCAGCATAGGGGAAGCCGACATCGAGAATTTAAAAAAAGAAGAGGCTTCCTCTATGACCCTGAAAATAAAATCGACAGCAGTTGTTGCAAAGATATGCCGTGAGTCTCTCACCACTGCGGCATCACCACTTCGGGCTGGAACAGACGGAGCTAGGAATTGCACCATCATTTCATCGTCTTGACATGGTTTATGTGAGACCCAGAGGTATCAATACACTCTGCAGTATTACGAAGGCCTGGTGCTCATCATGAGGATCCTGTCAAAGGCAACCCTTCAATGCAATCCATAGTATCGAGTGACTATTACTAGAGGTGGCATACTAACTCGGCTAGGCTTGTGAATATTTGAGACTTGTGAATTGTACAAAAATCCTTTCAAGATGACAAATCTTGCAAGAGAGGGGCTCTTTAAAATTCGATAAGTGACCAGGATCGGGCATTGCAAGAACCGGTATGAATCGGTGGTCTGGATCGTCATTTTACTGTATGGAAAAAATAGTCAACTGGAAAAAAAAACATATGCAAAAATAGTGAACTAACAAAAAAACCGTCTAGATCGGTGAATCATCATTTTTACAATAGCAAAACGACGTTTTTACTACATCAAAATGTCGTTCTACTATAACAAGTAACCGGTTCTCTTGTAGACCCAGACAATTTCCTATTTACTGATAGAATCGACACAGCTTGACCGATTCCTAGATCAGACCCGGTGATTTCATGTCAACCCGAAATTTTTAAAATCGCTACTAGAAACACATGGGAGATGAGATGACACACATCATCATCACAGATGTGATTATATGCCACCTACAAATACTTGACAACAATCTTTCTCTTGTGAGTCCCATGTTAACCTTTTTCCTTCCCTAGGTTTCACTCCAGGATTTTTCTCTCCAGGAAAGAGAGGAGTGCCCTTCATCTCTATGTGAGAACTGTTAAGGGTATTTGTTCATTTTGTACCCTCAAGGGTATTTTTATCTACTATACATATATATATATATTAATATGTAAAACTAAATGTTGAGTGGAATGAATGATTCGTGGTTTTCTCTTCACTTTCTCTCTCTAGGGTTTCATAAGTTTTACATGGTATCAGAACATGCTTTGAGGTCAGGTGGACTGGACAAAGTATAAAATAAGCCATCATGTATAGAACCTTTTAAATACCTCAAAATCTTTTTTGTGGCTTTCTAATGAAGTTGTCAGGGAGTCTACATGATCTAACATACTGTATTCACTGCATAAGCAATGTCAAGACGTGTAAATGTAAGATATTGAAGACCACCAACTACACTTCTGTACAAGAAAGGATTAGGTAATAATTCCCCTTCTTCAATCCTTAACTTCCTATTTACTTCAGCCTGGGTAGAAATAGGTTTGCATCCCAAATCTTTGTTTTAGAGAGTAAGTCAAGAATATACTTATGTTGGGTGAAAACAATGTCTTTTTAGTTCCGATGAATTACAATCCCCAAAATATATTTTAGTTCTCCAAGATCCTTCATTTCAAAGTTCAGTTTCAATTCTTTCTTAATATGTTCAATGCATTTAATATCATTTCCAGTAATAATGATGTTATCCACATAAATTAGAAGGATAACAATACTTGAGGATGATCTTTTAAGAAATAAAGAGTAGTCAATCTTGCTTCTTTGATAACCAATACTATGGAGTAGACAACTGAATTCTCAAACCATGCCTGAGGAGCTTGTTTGAGTTCATAAATCATTTTTTTTAATTTCCAGACGTGATGTGGTCGTAAGGGATCTTCAAATCCTTTAGGTTGTTGTATGTACACCTCTTCTTTAAAATCACTATGAAGGAATGCATTTTTCACATCAAGTTGATGCATTTTTTACCTTTGAAAGGAATGCACTTTCAATAGGGTATTTTATTTTTAAGGTCTTGGAGATGGTGTCAGGAGAAGAAACGGTTGTAGAGTAAATCTGGTAGTCTGACCGATGTCTAAGAGGTTGTGTGGAGCGAGAGGAACGACGTGGTGGCATAAGTGAAACTGCTAAAGGTCTTTTAGATAAATCATGTTGCACTATGGGATATGCATCTAAGTTTGAAATAAGAGAAGAAAAAAAAAGTGATGAAACATCTGTCAAGGAAATAAGTTGTTGATCAGACCTATCAGAGTGAGGCGATGACTGATGAGGGTGATGTTGTTGAGATGGTTCATCACTCTCACATCTCGATCAAGGAAGATTTACTCCAGAAAATTATAGTCTTGATTATACGAATCATGAGGCAAACTTGAAGATGAGTATATCAAACTCTCGACCCTGAGAAGGAGTACGTGCTTGCACTAAAAGGGATATCAAAACTAACTACAAAGGGGTCATTAGGCTTTTAAAAACGTACCTTCCTTGTAAGTTTTGAGAAGACTTTCTATACTTCTTTGCCGTATACGTCATATATACTTGCCCTCCTATCTAGCTGTCCAAAGTATTTAATGAATAAATTTATATAGTATATTTGTTTTTGCCATGTAATAAATAGGTGTGATGTTTCTTAAATTATTTAATGGGTAGATTTATATGGTACATTTTTTTTGGTATATACTGTCTAATTATGTAATACTTTAACTATGGTATGGTGACAAATATACTATAAAATGTATTCATTAATTACATAAACATCACACCTACTTATTACAAAAAAAATACATGATTTTTATTTTCTCTTTACAATGGTTTAACTATGGTATGGTGATTGCAGTCACTCCATAACTATGGTTAAAGTTTTTCTTTAATTGAAAAGAGGCTCATAGAAATTTGGGTCTCACATTTTTGTGTTTATGATTTAGAGAGAGAAAAGAAGGAAGAAGGAAGAAGGAAGAGAGGAAAATAGGGCTCGGCACATAACCATTAGGGTTTATAGAGAGAGAGGAAGGAAGAAAGAAGAGGTCATCGGCTTCACAAACCCTAATGGAAGAGGCTCTAACTGATTTTTAGAGAGAGAAAAGGAAGATTGGATGCAGATAGTTTGAAAAGAGTTTTTCTCTCTTATTTGGGATGTTTGAGAGAAATCTTTAACTATACTAATTTGTGAAAAGGCCCCAACTGATCTTTAGAGAGAGAAAAGGAAGAAAGTTTTTCATTTTCTTAAAAACAGCAAGCAGAGCTGAAGGATTAAGATTGAGAAACTAATCCTATATGTACAATTGCTTGCTCCTATAACTTTACCGTTTACACTATAATGTTTATCTTTGTTTTCACATAATCAAAAGTAAAATATTGATTATTTGGTCATTTAGTAACGCTCTCTGTTTCTCATTCATCAGTAAAAGACTATGTTTTGAGCTCTACTTTGTGCCATTATTGTATTTTCATAAAAACAATTATCACAAATAATCACAAAAATTTGCATGTATATGATTTTCTTTACACAATGATTTACTTTACAAAATGATTTTTGTTGTAAGCAGTATTTCATTTGCACAATGAGTTTCCAAAATAACAACTGAAATCTACATCTATTTGTTTACATTTTTTAAAAAAAGGGAAAAAAAAAATTCATAACTTGAATCTGTAACTGTGGCTATTTGTTTAAGTTTTTGTTTTTTAAATAAATTTTTTTTTAAAAAAGCATGAAAGTAGCAATGATTGTAATACACAAAACATGAAAAAAATAATTTATCTTTCTAAAAAAAACATATAGGTAAAAAAAGATACGATTTTTGGCCTGATTTAAATCGTATTAGAAAAAAAGCGCGTTTTAAATGTTTTTATGAAAACTACGCTACTTTTTGCCAACCTTTTCAAAAAGTCATCATTTAAAACTGTTTCCATGAAAACACCGAATTTTTTAAAAAATTGCAGATTAAACAGCGATTTGTTAACTATGGTTGAATTGGAACCAGGAGGGTTATCAAAATTGGCTCCTGGGCGTGGCCGGTTTTAGTCGGTTAGGGTAGTCAACTAGTTTGGCCAACCTAACTTAAAAAAAATTCAAAATAATTATAAAAAACAAATTTGTTTGTAAGAAAATTTTTTAATAATTTTTACTCTTTTAGAAAAGATAAAAATTCAAAATAATTATAAAAAACAAATTTGTTTGTAAGAAATTTTTTTAATAATTTTTACTCTTTTAGAAAAGATTGGGAAGTATTTTGGCTATAAATATTTATTTTTATATTTTCCTTTTTATGGATTATTTTAAAATACGTCTAAGTATATATTGATTTTTTAAACTCTATTTTCACTACTTTTTTAATCTTATTTAGATGTATTTTGTTTAATTATACTTTAAATATATGTTTCATATTTTTTCTATATATTTTTTAGATTTTTTTTAAACTATAGGACCGGCCATAAAGGCGAGTTACCGAGACCTATGTTAAGCTACTCGGACCCTGGCTAGGTTCCGAGCCCAGATCATACAATCGAACACTGCTCTCAATTACTCTTGCCCTAACCGACCTACCCACCGCATGCGGCAACTCAAAAGACCCATGGAAAAGTCTATACATGAGTCAGCGGGTGCAAGAGCCTCAACTCATTATAAAGAACTCAAAAGCGGAAAAAATTTCAAAAAAATTATATTTAAAAAATAAAAAAATAAAAAATTCTATTTTATTTTTCATCTTCATGTTCATCTTAATCCCTAAAATTTTAAATTAAAAATCCATGATTTTAGGAAGAGGGGTCACATAAGTATAATATGATTAGGCTGATTCAGTCACCCCATCCAGGATATATATATCTCTCTGGGTGCCTGTGCCCGTGCCTTGCACATCTCCTAATATGGAAAAAGATGACGTGAAATTCTAAAAAAGGAAAGGAAAACCAGGCCTTGATTCCTCTAAAAATGTCTGAGCAGCTTGATTCCTCTCTCTCTTCCAGACATGCCGGAGGAGCCCCCAAATGCAGATCCAATTCTTATCCCCAACAACCCTACGACCCATAAATGCCCTAAAAAAACCAAACCAAGTCCAACCCCAACCCCAACCCCAACCCCAACCCCAACCCCTCCCATGGTCCGGTCCTCTAATTCCATGGCCTCCAGCCTCGAGGAGGCCATGCTCACACACGAGAAGGATCAACATCAGAAGAACTCAAAGAAATTAACCCTTATTCCTCTTATCTTCCTCATCTTCTTCGAGGTCTCTGGTGGCCCTTTCGGCGAAGAGCCTGCAGTCCAAGCTGCTGGACCCCTCTTCGCGATCCTCGGCTTCCTGATCTTCCCCTTTGTGTGGAGCATTCCGGAGGCCCTTGTCACTGCCGAGCTCGCCACTGCGTATCCTGGCAATGGTGGCTATGTCATATGGGCTTCTGAGGCATTTGGCCCCTTTTGGGGCTTCCTGATGGGGTGGTGGAAATGGGTCAGTGGCGTCATCAACAACGCTGCGTACCCTGTCCTCTGTGTCGATTACCTCAAGCTCGTCGTGCCTCCTCTCTCTGGAGGCTGGCCGAGAACCCTTGCCGTATGTCTGTTCACGATTGTGCTCTCTTTCCTTAATTACACGGGCCTAACCATCGTTGGTTGGACTGCTGTTTGCCTTGGCATCATTGCCCTGATCCCCTTTCTGTTCATGGCTCTCGTTTCGATCCCGTCACTGAAGCCACGCAGATGGATGGACACGAGCCCAGAACACAAGAACTGGCCCTTGTTCTTGAACACCCTTTTTTGGAACCTCAATTTTTGGGACAACGCCAGCACCATGGCTGGAGAAGTGGACAATCCCCAAACGACCTTTCCCAAAGCCCTGTTCTCTGCAGGAATCCTGGTCTGCCTTGGCTACATAATCCCACTTCTCGCAGTTACTGGGAGCCTCGAGCTCAGCGAATCGAATTGGGGCGACGGGTTCTTGGCCGAGGCAGCAGGGCGCATAGTGGGCCGATGGCTCAAGTTTTGGGTCGAAGCCGGGGCAGTTCTCTCAGCCATTGGGCTCTTCGAGGCACAATTGAGCAGCGCCTCCTTTCAATTGCTTGGCATGGGGGAGCTCGGGTTCTTGCCTGCACTCGTGGCTCGAAGGTCGCCATGGTTCAACACCCCGACCTTTGGGGTGGTGGTCTCTGCAGCCGGCAGCCTTGCAATCTCGTTCATGAGCTTCACAGATATCATTTCTTCTGCGAATTTCTTGTATAGCTGCGGGATGTTGCTCGAGTTCGCATCATTCTTGTGGCTGCGGTGGAAGAAGGGAGAGGTGATGAGGCCATACAGGGTACCCATGGGGATGGCAGGGCTGGTGGGATTGTGTTTGGTGCCATCGGCATTCCTTGTGTTTGTTATGACAATGGCGACTAAGATGGTGTGTGCCATCAGCGCCGGTGTGACGGTGGTGGGCGTGGCGGCGTATTTCTTGATGGGGTGGTGCAGGCAGAGTAAGTGGTTGGAGTTTGAGAAAAAGGCGCCGGAGGTTGCGATGGACTGAACCATGTGAACCACAAGGTTGTGGTGGACTGAACCATGTGAACCGTAAGGGTTTCTTGATGCCTTTCTCCAGGGATTTGGGTTGGCTTTTTTAGTCTTCTACTTGTAACTCTTGTTTTTGAGGATATGGTATACAATGGGTGATTCAGTTATAGTGGCAATACCACATATTGTATACGTTGTTATTGCACTCATTCATGTCATATTGTTAAAAATAATAAGGTGATAATCATGTCTTGGAAACAATCTCCCTCCAGTATGCTCATTGATGTTTATAGTGGAGCAATGCTCCACAGCTATTTTATTTTTTTTAGATTGGCTAGCGCACTTGTTATCCGATGTGAAATCTCACAGTTTGGATGTGAAATCTGACAATTTGGATGTCTAACAGAGTTTAAGAAAATTAAACTTCGAGTATAGTCAATGGATTAAATGTAACCATTGAATTTCACATCCAATAATCAAGATTAATTGTGACATTCATATATCAAAAATAACTGATCCCATTTTATACTTTTTCTTTTTTTGAATTTTATCGCTCAATACATTTTTCTAAGATTTTGATTTTTCGAAGTACCGATCGGGGCATTTGAACCTAGGATTCTGATTTTTCGAAGCACTGCTCAGGGCATTTGAACTACGGCATGCACTATAATAAAGGGAAATAAATAAGTTAATAGAGAGATCAATAGGGAGTGAACCTGTTTTGTAGTCCAAAGATCGAATCAAAAAAATATCTAGGGGAAAAAGTGGCAGACAAATTCTGAACCACCTCAGAACCGCTGACCTTGCTCGCTGATCCACCGGCCCTAAGACCCACCGCCGAACCTATGGTTCCAAGCTGCTCATTGGTTTTTAAAACATTATTTCAATTGATATCAAAATAAATAACGGTTAAAATATGGCCTAGGCCCAATGGAAGAAAGTAAAGCCTCTCCTCAAGACTTACCAAAACTGCAGTTTCAGCGTCGCAAAATATTCAAATCGATATTCTAGACCTTGACCGGTATGGTTGTGATAAAAAATATGAATTTCAAACCTTAAAAACAATATGTACTATAACGCATTATCTACGATGTCGCTTTTGAAGTGCTCGTGTATCAAAAATATTTGTACTAGTTTTTTAGCTACAAATTTCTTATTCAATGGTGGAAATTAATTATAGAGCCATTTTAGAGATTTTCTATGCCCAAAGTATTTTTTCGAAAAAGAATTCGAAGTGAAGCTTTACTTTCTGTAAGGCCTATGTCTAGGTCTTATAGAAACTGCATCCAATAATAAAAGGGTGCAGTTGGCATACGGATGTATCCGTAGCTGTAGAGGTAAGGTGCACTTTCAAATTTTATCATGG